CCCCAAAACCCCAAAACCCCAAAACCCCAAAACCCCTGAAAAGATCTAATTATTGATTTTAGAAATTAAAAATTATACTCAGAAATGAGACGAATAGACTTTAATGCGGTCAGGTGTATACTACAGAAGAAACAAAGAAGAGCAAGGAAATCTTCCAGGAAGCTTGGCTTCAAGTCTAATCCAAACTCTAGGGAATATAAGCAATTTCTTTCAGGAGATCTGACCTTAAACAACTCTTCTATATTGAACTCGCCCAATAACCTTGATAAGTATTGTGTAAAATTATCAAAAATAGGAGTTTGCCAAGTATGAGGTACATTAACCTGACCTCGCCTACATCCCAAAAGGGAAATTCCCAAAAACCAAAGTGAAAATAAGGTGAAGAATAAACTGGTCAGCCACAACCGAAGGATATCAAACATGAGGTAGGCTTCCCTAGTAACCTTGACAGAGGGAGTTTGTACCACAATGATGATTCCAAGTCAAGGGATACCTCCAAATTTCAGGTATTTCCTCTCAATAAAACCTAGGTCTCCAAGAACCTAACGCTATTTGATGTTTACAAGAAGTTTGAAAATTATAAAGAAAATTCAAAATAATTTCATTTCTCCCCAAATTGTCAGGCCACGAACACAGACTTTCAGTGCTCTAGTCTCAAGCAGGAAGGACCTCGAAGCGGCAGATTACAGTATCATTGCTAGTTTAAAAGCTGAGAACGACCTCATCACCAAAGAACTAGAACAACTAAGAATAATAAATGAAAAACTAATGTGAAAGATAGATAATTTTGAAAAACACAAGCGTGGCGAAATGGAAAATTCCGCCTATGAGCTCGAGAAAATTGATAAAGGGATGAAGGAAATCCTGGAAGACTTCTATGATGGAAAATAACAATGTCTCACAGCAGCAAGCCAAAGCTGATAAAAGGATTACCATCAACCTGCTCAAGTTTTGATTTGACCAGATAACTCAGCTCAAGATTATATTTTGTAGTGATATAGCTGAAATCAAGAAAGATTTCAGGTGAGTTTAAGAAATTTTACCATATTTAGTGTCCAAATCGAAGAACTTTACACCGCTCTATCTCAGACAGCTACAGACAGTTACCATAAAATGCAAGAATATGAGCAAAAACTCCAAAATGCAGGTGATAGGGAAGCAAACTTGAAGGAGGAGCTCCTTAATTACCAGCAAAAATACAAAAGAGAATGAGAAAAGCACCAAAACATTTCACTATTAAAGGACGGTCTTGAACTTGAAAAGCAAAGGTTCCTCATACTAATCCCAAAACTAAAGACCTAAGATCACCGATTACGAACAGGAGATTGCTAAAAATTGGAAGATAATAAAATAGACTTGAGAAGGAGATCTCCAGTCATGATTGCATCTCAAAGATGAGTAAGCTACTTTCTTGTATTCTTTTAGACTCTGGAGTGAGTGTTACATTTCTACATGAAAAGATCAGGCAGTTACAGTCAGAACTGGAGCTCCACAAGCTCCGCTCTGCTGAGGAGCTAAAGAAGCAAGCCAAGCATTATGAAAAGATAACAAGAGTAATTCTTTAAATAATGTTTTAGAAATCACAACGTAGGATGTATAACAAGCAGGATACAGTGCATCTCACCAATGATATGGACTTGATTGGGAACACAGAGTCCATTCCAAAGAAGAAAAATAATACCTCGAAGAATGCTAACCCTCTCAATAAAAGTAAGAATGAAAGCCAGATTTCACTCATGGGCCCAATAAATACCTCCCAGTCTGCCAAATCATCGAAGAGTGGGTTGATGGAAGAGGTCAAAAGCACTTCAGCAGGGTAAGTCAGCCTCTTTACCAAACGAACACCCTTCAACCAAATGCTTATTCTCCAAAGCAAGACCTCTTACCTTATCTCCATTAATCCCAGAACAAGCTTTTCCTTTATAATAACACTAGATATACAAAAGTAAAAGTTTAAACTCGTGCTGGTTAGTCAGATCCCAAGCAGACTTTCCATCACCAGCTTTATTTGTTCCAAAATTAAAATTATAGTATTAGGCTATACAAATAAGACAAGAATCCTAGTTTCGAGCCCGAAGATGCTAACTCGATAAAATAAATAACTTCATGAGCGTAACTTTGCTTACCCTAAACTTCTGTTTGCAAGGAAGGTGAATATCTTTTAGCTTAGTTATTTAATAAATGTCTACTTTAAGACGTAAATTTTTGGAAAAATTGGATCTGAGCGTTAAGATCCAAGCAACTTTTAGGGTTTTAAATAAGATACAAATGCCAAAACGAGAGAATTATATTGACTCATAGGGAGAATAAGTTGAAAGCACGCAGACCAAAGAACTTAGTGATTGATAACTTTAAAAAGCACGAAGAAATTGAGATATCTCCTCAATTCAACAGGTAAGGCCAAGTTTAAGGAATTTAATGAAGTTGCTCATATTTTTAAAGTGAAAATGAAAATCAGGATAAGGAAACCCAGCTGATTGGAAGAAGCAAGCAGTACAACAAAGTGACTAAGCGAGGCTATGAAGAGTATGATGTCAAGAACCACAGAGATTTGAATGCTCAATTTTAGATTTTTCATGCTATTTTCAATCATGTAGTGGAATTTAGGGGTTTTGGGGTTTTGGGGTTTTGGGGTTTTGGGG